TAATATTATAAATGGAAATGTTAGGAGGTATGGATGTTTCTAAGAAGGTATCTTTAGAACAGCTGCATAGATCTCGCTGATTTGTCATAGATGTAGAAAATCGAAAGAACACATTGACTACTAAGTTATTTTTAGCTGCACGTAGACCGAGCCGCGGGCGATAGCTAGTATTCAATGTACCTACTGTGACTTTCTTCCTTGTGTAAAATATACAGGACATTTTTGTTAAAGAAATTACCTTCCCCTTTGACCTTAAATATGCGAGCACATTTTTATATCGCGGAGTTTAAAACCTTGCTACTTTTTTTATTCATCCCACAGCTCTATTGATCCAACAACAGGTACGGGAGCTAAGTAAAATGTCAAGGACCTAAAGCTTCTATGATCTTTTTTACGAAAATAGACTTTTGTTTTATTTTAAAATTAAAAAGACTACATTAAGTTCTATACTATACATGGTGTTTCATTTAAATCCGTACAAACTACTGTCCAAACAAATTGCATGACAAAATCACAGTATTTATGTCTTCTTACTTACCTAGATACTAATCTAGGACGTGCTATTCAATTCAAATAGGTTGGAATACTTAATAGAGCGAAACAATAATTTACATACACACATGTAGTTAACATAAATCTTCATACTTGTTAAAGACGACGCAAAATATAAGGATGGAAAGACCGTTTGGATTAAGATGAATTTTGGAATATTATATGTTATATAATAAAAGATATAATGAAAATATAAAATAGAATAATTAGAAATAAAGAGAAAAGTACGCACTGTTACAGAATATATTTACAACTGATGATTTTAAATATAGAGAAAAAGGAAGAAGAAAAAACATATAAAGTTCTAAATACAAAAATATAACAATTATGAATAAAAACGTGTAAAAAGGTTCCGTATCTGTCGGCAACGCTTGTCGTTTTACAGATCTTACACTAAATGATCAGAATACTGATCATATCACTGAGTTTATTTATGCAGATGATAAGTACACGCTATCAAGTAACCATCATCAACCAAAACCATGTGTTTATAAACTGGTAATATACTAATGTATGTTTATTTATTTTTACATAATTACCGTAATATTATTAAGTGTGCTCAGTTAATAAAATTGGTGAGTCTGTATTTAATATTAAAAAAAAATTACTAAACGAAAGGAAAATCAATTTTTAAATCACGCGTCCCGCGTTTGTTCCGGGAAATCTCCGAAACGGCTAGAACAATTTTGTCTGTACTTTTACAAGTTAGATGATGGATGCGGGCATATGTTAGCCTTTTTTAATTCTATTATTTCAGAATGTTTATATTCTTCGTTAGATTATGTTTTTTTTTTTTTCAAATTTTGCGCTGACAAAGTCCCGGGCGATCGCTAGTAATATAGTTCAAAAGATATCCTTTGTTTGCTACGTCTATGTTTAAAGGTTTAAACCTATTGTAGCGGCACATGGCTTGGGCAAGACGTGTAGAAAAAGATGAGATATTTTTAAACCACAAATAGTTTCCGTTACGCTTCAGTAAACAAAAATAGTCAAGACTCATTTAAATGCAAGAGACGTAATATAAATATCGTTCATTTGTATTGGAAGATTTCGATTGTAGATTTTCACTTTGGAAAAAACCCCAAGATAGTACCCTTATTTACATTTCCATATTGCATGTTTTTGTTTTATCTGTTTACTTATAGATATAGTAATATTGTAAAACCTTCGAAAACAAATTACTAAACGTTTTGCTCCGGTTTTCCCCCGACTGACCTAGTTAGGAAATGTGCGGGCGGATCTTCGCCTTGAAAGTTACAATTTATATAAGTTCAAATTCATATCATTTATATTTCACGGGGAGACGCACTGCTAAAATAGATGCAGTTTTGATGTCATTGCTCAAAACTATCAACCTCATATGCTTCCACTGCCACACTATTGCAAACATAATATTTTCAACCGTCACATTCTCCTTGAAAAAAATGCAAGAGCAGGCACAGGATAGTGTCGGTAACGCAGTTGTTAAGCTCTTGACCCGACCGAATTATAAGTAAACGTTTATGTTCGAATGTACCAATATTTTTGCGAATTTCATATGTACATTTTTCCGACATTCTTACGATGTAGGAAAACATCGTGGTCCATCCTGCACATATCTGCGAAGATGTTTAAAAGATATGCGCGATGAACCCTGACTGGACCAGTGTGGTTAACTATGATTTATTTTCCCCTAACTTGGGTGCCTACCCACTGAGGGGCTCAGACCCTTCTGAGCCCCTCAGTTGGGAGATGTATGAGCTAACAACATTGTTTGGAATTTTATAGCAAAGCGATAATGACTGTATTATACCACAACGACGCCATGGCGCCATACTTCTTTATATACGCTATTACTATATTCACAACTGACGTACAATTACTACGCGCGATCGATTTTAATCTACCGTGTTATAATAGATAAGTACTTATATTATTTAAAGGAAGATTACACTTAGATTAGATGAAACTTGGACTGGACCCTCGTATTTAAATAGCGATTTTTTTGTAGTAATAATTTTATTTAAGTACCAAATAAATTAATAAGGTTTTCAATATTTGTAATATGTACATTATCAATGGATTTTCCTATCTCTATCAACTAAATCGTCATAAGTGCGTCATGATCGCGTCATGACGGGTTAAAGCTGACGCAATCACGGCCCGTCCGCCTCGTTGTGACGCTCAAGGTTGTCAGATGTTCCGCGGAATGCATTCGCAATATGACTTTTAAATCAACGTTTCCTTGGAAGACTAATGATCGGTAATATTGTATCAAATTCACTTTTTTGTAAAGAAGTTGGGAGAACATTTTACATTTATGGTATGACTAGCTGTCGCCCACAAGTTTGTCCACGCGGTATTAAAAAAAAAATTAAATAAGTAAGAGTATGTGTTCTTACAGACTGTGTTCTACATCTGTACCATATTTCAGCGAGAACCATGCAGTCGTTCTGGAGATACGTTCAAATAAACATCAATCCATCTAAATAATCGCATTTATAATATAAGTAAGATTTATAATACCAAAGCTATATGAAAAAATTGTCGTTTCTTCAAATTAATATCAAGAATGGTATTTGAGTTCCTTGAAAAAGAACTGTTTTAAATATAATACAAAACTGTACTGTACTGTTTTCTTATTTCCTTATCATCTACGCAGAACTAATTCTAAATAGTTTCCGTTTATCGCTGTATAAACAAACCTTACTACGTCTTTACAACGTCTAATAGGAATTAACCGTGGGTCTCCATTGCCGAAATCGTACTAATATTATAAACGCGAATTTTTAGGTGGATGGATGAATTGATGTTTGTTTGAAGGTAACTCCAGAACGGCTGAACGGATCTCGATGAAATTTGGCATACACTTAGAACATAAACTGGAAGAACATATAGGCTACTTATAATTTTTTTTTAATTTCGCACAGACGGAGTCTGGCGAAAGCTAGTACATGTATAAAACCATTGTTGTCTCGGTATTGCCCATATAAAATGAGGGAGATGACTATATTTTAGTGCTATTGTTGCAATAACACGGACCCTCATGTTTATCTGTAATTCCATCAACTAAGACACTGAAGTAAACACTTGACGCATAGTGGAAGATAAACGTGAAATTAACCGATTTATTTGTATGGAAAAACACATTTTGTTTCTTATTATCATACTAAATTTATGTATACTTAATAATAAGATAAAATATTGTTTATTGGTTGAATTCTAGAACTGCAGGGGATTTTTCCACAATAAAAAACTCTTTTTCTGCGCGTACCTATTATATTTTGTTTTATTTTTCTTTATTTATATTCCCATTTGTACTTTTTTATAGGAGTAAAGTCTAGGCGGAGTAATTTTCTAGTAAGGAAAATAGTTTTCTACGTAATTTTACATGATTTCACCGTACGCCTTTAAAATATTCAGGGAATTTCAATTTCTAATTATAGCAAATACAAGGTCGAACGATCTTTTTAAATATTGGTTTAAAAATAAACGAACTCTGGGAAGTAAATCGTGAAAATGCAAACACATTGTAGTTGTTTTAAAAATTCGTCATGCGCACATTTGATGACTATTGCTTTTGGTTGAATCACGTATACCAAGTAGTTACGAATGCTAAATGGACCCATTATACCAGGTTTTAACTGCCAAGAAATTCCAAACACGAATATCAACATTGTTTAGCATTAAAATATAAAACCTCCAATCAAATCTCGAATTTGGACAAAATATGAAATAATTATGAATTTTTTTAGCGACTGTACATAGACCGTACTGTCACATAGTTCGTGACTTTTGTTATTGATTGTACATTCAAAACTAACCAAACCTTTTTTTTTTTCAATTTCAACGGTAGAAATAATAAGACTGCTATTTACTTCGTATATAGGCTAATTAGATTCTTTATATCCCTACTAAAAAATCACGAAATTTAATCTCATAATCGTAAATATCGCGCAAGGTCATCGTAAGGCCTCCAAATATACCGAACAATTAACCCAATGAATACGGACTCCGGCGAATTTACTGCGGATTAACGAGTCGTGGCGACGTTATCGCATTTCCTACATTTAAGACTAATAAAACTGGTGTATTGTGTACACAATACTCATGCACTATACGACAACAATTACTTGCTGAACTATTATTGTACTACAACTGAATTCAAACATCACAACATAAATAAATTCTTAAATCGATTAAATAAAAGCAGGCTTAAGCATAGGCGCCGCGTCGCCAGCCGATGATCTAGACTAGGTCTAGAGGATGGGGAGGCATTTTACTTTTTTTTTCTAAGGCGAACTGCTGCCCCCCTTAGCAACGCTCGCGGATCTAATTAAGATCTTAATATTCTTTAATTTATTAATAGAAAATCTTAACTTTCTTATATTCCATTACAAAATATATTTAAATCTATACGGCTTTTGTCATCTTCTCTTTGTTAATATGAACTTTATTTTTGGTTACAGGTGGTCGAATGCAAAGAGAAAAGAACTGGAGTTAAACGTGCATTAAAGGTCTTACACGACAGCGCGAAAGCTAGACGAGAAGTGGAACTGCATTGGAGAGCGAGCGGCTGCATACATATCGTTGAAGTACGTAAAACAGTATGAGATATTTTTTAACATATTTCATGATAACTATGAACAATTTTACTGTCATTGATTATTTTTATTTTTTTCTTACATTTTTATCACCGTAATATCCGATGTATTCAAAATGCTAGGGTATTGCAGAATAACCAATAGATACAATTGCTTTATTGAATTTGTCTATACAAACAGATGTAATAATGGATGTCACACACTTGGATACCTGACAAGTATACTGTAATAAATCTATATATATAAAAGAAAGTCGTGTTAGTTACACTTTTTATAACTCAAGAACGGCTTTACCGATATGGTTAAAAATTGGTGAGGATGTAGCTTAGAGCCAGGAGACGGATATAGGATACTTTTTTTTTTAACTGATGCCTTGCAGAGCTTCTTTTTATTTAACTGACTAATATGCGAATAAATGCGAGTGTTTAGATGGATGTGATGTGGATGGATGGGTGGGTGGGCTACACTTACACAGTTTTTTATATATCCACGAGGACGGAGTCTAAAACTAGTCGACAGCTAGTAAGTACTAAAAGGTATCTCAAGTACGCTCTAAAAACATATCAACTCGGTGAACAATTATTGCGCAATAAATTACATATTGTGTAATATTGTAAACAGGTGATAATTTAATAACATTGTAAAGTTGCGCGGGTAAAGTTGTTGACACACTGAGGTGATTTGTAATATTTACTTTTAACAATGTAAAGGTGAGCCCTCACTGTCGCAGTTAATCGAACTTAACGATGAATACCTAGTATAAGTAGGACATTAACTGTGCCCTTATTATACGACGTGGTACAATTATTATGAAATAATATTTCTTTTATTTTGTTAATAATTTGAGCTCACTTCACACAGATTTAATATTTCAATTTCAAATAGATTATTTGCATTTCAACTTTTCTCATTAATTGAAGTAATAAAAGATAACCAAATCAAATGTTTTATCCATTTCTTTCTAATTTTGATATAATTCTTAAAAAAAACTACAATATTTTTAATCAAATTTGAGTAGTTGTGTTGTTTCTTATTTCGAGAAACTTAATATACTATACAGGATGTTGAATGTATCGAATGTTTTACAGGACTAAAGCAATAAACAACAGCCTGTACTAATCCGTAACTCGAAACAAATACGGATTTATGTATCCGTTTACAACTGTACTAACGAATCAATGAATTCCCATGTTCGTCGTAATTCTATTAAAAGAAAATGGTTATGGAGATTTTCCTCATTACTAAAGTTTAAATTTGGATCTGTAATGATGTTATTATCCTCATAATTGGTAGAAACACAGATTAACAGTAGTAGAGCCCGCTTTAACATCTTCACACGAATTGGCCAGGCTCGCCCGGTGAAATACCACGACCACACAGAAGACGGGTGTGAAGTGAAAGCAATTCCCACCCTTTTTCTTATAAGGAAAACATGGGAAGTGCAGGTGGACTTTAGGGATGAGAGAATGCATGGAAAATTACTGCGCACTATTTCAGCTATTTTAGGTGGCTGCTCGCACGTTTGCCACCTTATGATATAAAAAAAAGAAAACCAGATTTGAAACACCGAGGTGAACTCCGTAACTGAGACGAATATTAATATACTTATAATACGCCTTGTTTATATTATGTTTTTCCTCCATTCAGTTGGTCAATTTATGGCAATAATTTGAAGTAAATTTCACAGTAGAATGCTTTAATTTTTAATACCTAGCTGTTACCCACGACTCCGTTCGCGGGGATTAAAATGAAAATTAGTAAGTAGCTTATGTGCTCTTTCATATTATGTCCTACATATATGCCAAATTTTAGGGAGATCTGTTGAGCTGTTTGAGAGTTACCTTATAACTTGTAACAAACATGCATCCATCCATCTAAATTTTCACATTTATAATATTAGTAAGTTTGCGGACGGTAGGTGCTGTGAAAAAAAAAACTTTAAGCCAACCCAATCAAAAGATACATCCGTTAAGAGTCTTAAATCTATGAAGGTTTTAAAAACGTTAATCATTAAAAATAAACTTTACTGTTCTTTTTCAAAGACGCATTTGTGTTGGCAGGAAACGATTACATCATTTATGTAGAAAGACTAATTGTTAACTGTTACTTGTTGCTACAAAGAAACCGCGATAGGAAATACGCATTAGTATGTAAAACATACTAATGCAACAATATAAATGCACAAATACAACGTAATTATAGATCTTTGTTGGATAGATCCTCTTATAACCTTTTCCGATCATGGAATTCGTTACGAACTACTTTCATCTTACTAATATTATAAATGCGAATGTTCAGATGGATGGATGTTTGTACGTATCTCCGGAACGGCTCATCAGATCTTGATGAAATATGGCACAAATGTAGAGCATAGTCTGGAAGATCACATTAGCTACTCATCAAGTTATTTTTAATTCCGCTCGGACGGAGTCGCGAGCGACAGCTAGTATACCTAAATGTTTAATTGTGAGGTGAAGCTCTTCTCCGGTATATCTATATTAAAATGAGCACGACATCAAACCGGTTCAAATACGTGAGACGTGACGCATCGTTTTTATTGCATTCAGTGGACCTTGATACCAACGGCATAGTTTATTTATATGTGCTGTGACGGTCTGTAGTTCGAATCCCTGTGCACTAGTGATACCCTGACTTTGCAACAGTAAAGGTAAAATAATATAAAAAAAACATGTTTTGCCTTCTGTTGTTGCCAGTCTGTTTTGGTTTCTTAGGCTAAAAATTTCTGTATAAAACCCCCATCCCTGTCATTATCTTTGACAAAATAGAAATAATATATTTTAAATGGAGATTTGATTCCCAGAAATCCACGGTTAGTCCAAATGAATCTGATCCTTTGATACAATATTAAACTCCCAGGATTTATCAGTCACATAAATTATCCAAAACTATATTTTTAAATGCCAATAATCGTTCATTAACTACTAAGTTGCTTAATTATAAATTACTCTACTCTAATTGTGTAAAAGTATTTTACACAATTAAAAATAGGATTTATTTAAATTCCAGATTATAGATGTGTACGACAATACATACGCTGGTAAGAGATGTCTGCTCGTTGTGATGGAGTGTATGGATGGAGGAGAACTGTTCCAGAGGATCCAGGATAACAGGGAGGGAGCGTTCACTGAGAGACAAGCAGCTGAGGTTAGTTACACATTACATAAGTTTGAAACAAGTTTTACACATTACACAACGATGACAAATCCGATATGTAAATAAATTTGGTCTAGAAAATGTATTAATAGATATGTTTATAATAAATAAAGTCGAACTGGATAAGCGAGAAACCACTATTAGCGAGAAGTCATGACCCCGACAGACGACCGCCATTAGTGAGAAAGTTAGGTTAGAGAGAAACCTTTATGAGCGAGAAATTATTGCAGTCTCTTGGATTCTCTATTATCCAGGTTCGACAGTATATGATTTATTTATTCTTTCAATTTTTCCTGATGCAGTATAGATTTTTTTCTACAGGAGAAGAGTGTGATTGGTTCAAAAATTAATAATGTATTTGTAATTGTTCTATCTTGTACTCGTTCAATATTTAACTATATTAACTACAAATTTAGTACTAACAATCCTGTCCATTAAATAAATAATTTATTTCAGTCCTTACTCCCTCAGATAATGCACTCTATATGTGTCGCGGTGCGTCACCTCCACGACTCTGACATCGCTCACAGAGACATCAAGCCTGAGAACTTGCTCTACACCAGTATGGAGCCAAACGCTATACTGAAACTTACGGACTTTGGATTCGCGAAGGAGACCCTGTCACAGACGGATACATTGCAAACGCCTTGTTATACGCCGTATTACGTCGCTCCTGAGGTATGTTACAAGAAGTTTACGTTCCAGGTGGGGACAGTCCAGTGGAGAAAACATAGCAATTTGTCCCAATCGCGTTATTTTCTAAAGAGTCTAGTGCATAGGTAAGAAATTAATCAGAATACATGTAAAATAATTTACAAAAGTATTTTTTTGTATTACAGGTCCTGGGTCCAGAGAAATATGACAAGTCCTGTGACATCTGGTCCCTGGGCGTTGTTATGTACATCCTGTTGTGTGGATTCCCTCCATTCTACTCTAACCACGGCCTCGCCATATCACCGGGAATGAAAAAGGTAAATTTTTAATGTTATATACAAAAAATATAAGTCTAGGTAAAAATATTGTACTAAAATATTTTTGTGTTATGTTTCAGCGAATCCGTCTCGGTCAATACGATTTTCCAGAGCCGGAGTGGTCGAATGTATCCGCAGAGGCCAAGAATCTGATCCGCGGTATGCTGTCCGTTGACCCCGCCAAGCGACTCACGATACACCAGGTCAGTATAAAGTATACAATCGAACCTTCCTCGGCCTACGCAATCGGCTGGACTATACACTATGTTTGTTCCCGAACATACTTTACGGCGACTTGCAATTTTAAACGTATTTATTCCTTATTAGGGACTGGTTCTTAACAGTATTATTACATTGACTAAAAGTTTTTTAGTAATCTTACCTTTTACTCTTTATTTTAATTCATAATAATTCAATTCTTGAAAATTGCTGATATATCGTAATTTTATTTCGTTATTATTTACTTTGATTGTTTGCATTGAACAGGCTTCAAAACTACTGAACCGATTTGAAAAATTATTTTACTATTGGATACAAGATACACTATCCTAGTATAGACTGTTTTTTAGATAGACTAATCCTTTTTTAAATCTAATTACTAGTTATGTTTGTGTGCAGGTGATGTCAAGCCCGTGGGTGCGACAATACACGCAGGTCCCGCAGACGCCGCTGTACACGCACGCGCTGCTGCGTGACGCGGGCGAGGCGTGGGCAGACGTGCAGGACGAGATGACGCGCTCCCTCGCCACCATGCGTGTGGATTACGACCAGGTATACATCTACTTCCAAATATCTCGGAGGTTTCACGTACAGGGCTGGGGAGGGAGGGCACTGCACATTTGCACATGACCTTGAGATGGCAAGATTTAAAACTCGAAAATATTATTTCTCGCCAGTACTTATAAATAGCCTCGTATCGTAACAAAAAATAAGCAATTGTAAGTGGAGATTTTTTAATTCGCTCAACTAGTTTCCATTTATTTATTTGAAAATGTATTTCAGGTACAAATCAAAGCATTGGAACAGAGCAACAATTCCCTTTTAAATAAGAGACGGAACAAAGTGGGCGCCTGAGTGTCGGACGAGGGCGGGGCTTGAGCCTCCCCCACACACGCCCCCCACACGCCCTAGACTGACGTCAAACTAAAACATCACAATATGTTTACAATTAACATAATTAATTTTACAAATACCTACCCTTTTTTGGTTGTATTAGCTTTTTTATGACCTGTAAAGAAATTACATACTTTTTTGTATAAATTTATCCTGCAGCTTTACATCATTATTTTATATGTTTCATTATCAAAATTTACTAATCGTTGGTTTCGGAGAACAAAATCTCTGTAAAACAGTCATTCCTGTTTGTTGTTTTTGATAAAATAGAGGTAACATTGTTTTAAATGGGGATTTTTGTCTCAGAAACCCACGGTAAATTAGGCATTACGCTCTTTTTTTCTGTGCACAAAAGACATGAAGAAAATCTTTAATATACTCTTTCAATACGTGCCGAGTCTAAATACTTTGTCTATATTTATAAAAGTCTGACCGGCTTGAAGGACCAACAATGTAGAAAAATTTCATCTTTAATAATTTTTTTTTTATTCCTCTATTACATAACTAGTCTTCCTTTTATAATAAGTTGCATTTACATACAAAACACATATAATTTAGTAGAAGTAATCAACATTTGCTACATAAATGTTTGTTAATTGAAGACAGGACTAGTTTTTTCTGGTCAGTGAAAAGTGCAAATAAATTTTATAAATTGTACTTAGCTTAAGAATAATACGTTCGATTAAGAACACTATCGTTATTAAGTTTCTTGTTAAAAACACTTTTAAATGCTACATTTAGAAATTACCTTTACTCATAGCCATTTTTATTTTAATGAATATTTCAGTTATTTTTTTAAAGTGATTTCAATTTTTTTTTAAGCTTGTTTTATATATTTGTCACTGGAATCTCTCAAAATAATTTACAGATACTCCGATAAATTATATAATTTACATCTAATTGTTTAATCCATGTTTTTTTCGTTGTAATAAAAAAAATATAAGTTATATAAGACAACGTAATATGTGCCAAATCAATATTTTTAAAGTAATATTTGTCAATGTCGTTTTTAAAAATAAGCACATCCGATTTAAAATGTACGCCTAAATCTTGTCATCATGAAATCCTATAACATGGACATTAATAACATTATTTTATGTTTCTATTGAAAATATTGCAATTTTTTAGCAAATTATATATTGACGTAGATACAGTCAAACCTAGATATGCGAAAACCTCTAAAAGCTATAGTAACTGTACGGTCCAAACGGACGACTTCAATTAGCGAGAAACTTGGGTTAGAAAACCTCTATGAGCGAGAATGATATCGCGGTCCTTTGGACTCTTATCAAACTTTTACTATATTTATGTAAAATGTATATAGTAATGTGAGAAAAAAAGTTTTTTGTTCCCAAAATATTTTGAAATTTACGAGTTTTGTCGTGCAATTTGCGACGTATCCATTGTTTTGGTACAATGTCGAAGTTGTTTTCTTTTTGTAATCAAGTGTTCTTAGTCGAACTTTTCTTAGTTAATATTAATAGTTATAAGTTAAATGGATTTATTAGTGAATGTACCGTAAAGATGTACCCATATAAATAATGTGCGTTTGATAATTTAATATTTCTAGCCAGCAATTTCAGTTTTAATTTTTTTTTATTTACTGTTTAAATTTTTTTTAATCCTTTTTATAATTTAGCAAAGACAATCGTCAATTATAAATCCGAAAAATATGTAAAATATCTATTTTTATACAGGAATAATAATAAATGGCAACATTTAATTATTATTTGCCGTCCATTTAGAAGAGAAACTGCAGAGTATATTTTCATTAAAAAATATAATTATATGACGTATTTGCATTAAATATATGCTCGAGATATACGTGCATCTTAACTAATAAAAAATTTTAGCGTCCATTCTTATAATTTATAAAAAAAAATCTTTGAATCATAAAATAATTTCTGATGTTGAATAAATTAATCTGTCACTTAAATTAATATAAATTTAATAAATATTGTTCGTAGCTTTTTGATTTTATTGTAACGTAATTTACATTTAAAATTATGTTTATTTTGACAAAAGTAAAAATCATATTGTCACAAAATTTGTTTATCACATATTCTATAGTTTAATATAAGTTTATCTATTTTTTACTTTCCTAATATGTATTCGTTTTACATCTACACAGTATGTGTAAACAGTCATATTAGGACCATAATGTAAATAACTTGACATCACATAAACTGTGCGTTTTCACTGCTTGAATACTTGTATAAAAACATGTTGTGATACTTCTATCTCTATGAAATAGGCAACAAACAATATGTTTGAATTTTATTAAAGTGGAATTTCGCAGTTATAAATTTCTAAGTACTTATTCCTTATTTTAATTTGCATATTTACACAAAAGACGCATCTATGTAACTAAAATATGTAATGGATGGATATGTATAGTACATTGCTGTAACTGTGAGTGGAGAAAATAAAAGTATTGATAAATTTAAAGGTTTTTTTAATATTTAATTAGCATTTTTTTTCTGTAGTAACTTGCCAGCTAACTAGTAACTAGCTTGCTAGTAACTTCTACAAGCTTACTAATATTATAAATGCGAGATTGTAGGTTTAAACGTATCTCCAGAACGATGACATGGATCTTGCTGAAATATAGCATAGATGTAGAAACATAGCTTGGAAGAACACCATAGGCTACTAATTAATATACTAATTAATTAATACTAATTATTTTTTTTTTCAATTTCACACGAATATTCAAAACATGATTTTCTTAAGCTTTTATTTAAACTTAACTGTACGAATCACCAAACAAAATATTTATTTTCCGCGTTTATACAAAAAGAGCGAATTCAATGAATTTCTGTAAAAATAAAAGTTGAATAATATTACCAAAGGTATCAATTTCATCAACAAAGCATAGGAATGCGTAATTTAAATGCAGTTTTACTTAATAATTAATGGAAAATTGTAAAAAAAATCTGAATAATTGAATATATTAATAATTCTATAGTAATAATTTTGCAAAATATATTAATATTATTATATAATACGAATAGACATTAAGAATTAGCAATTATTAGTATGTAACAACGTATCTTACCTTCTTAACTAATGTAAGTCACAATATAAATTGCGTTCATATATCAATACTATCAGATCCTTTCTACCAAAATGTTAAATTATTAGAAAAATGTAAGATTCAATGAGATTTAATAAATAGCTATATAATTTAAGAAGTTGTATACTTGAGACATATACAGTAAGGTGTATAGGCTGTACTACTATAGGAGGATGTATATTTGGAATGTATGCCTATAGGAAGTTGTATACTTAGAGTATACATCTACAGGAGACTCAAGAGCATGTATATGAGTGGTGCTGTCCAGGCGCTCTGCGTCATAGTCAAGCCTGTGATGACAGCCACCAACAGCCACAGCAGATAGATGATACCGATCTGCCACAGAACGTGCGCGGCAAGCAAACTGAAAAACAATTACGTGATTAGTTAACTCATATTAAAAATCTGCAAGATTTCATTCGGGATGCTTGTTCTTTTTGTTTAATATAATTGTGAAATGGTAAATAACGTCTTATAAATTAATAAGCGACCAGTAAGTACTCTAACCGATATTTAATTTGTTATGTAAAGTTTTTGTATAATAAAAAAAAGGTGTATACGTTTATTAGAATTACAATATCAAACAAACATTCAGATAATAGTTGTGAAGTACTTTGCCGAATAATATTATAATAATGTCACTAGTTTCTAAGAATGTGTTTTAAAAAACTTACAACGTATCCTTTCTCCTGGCCGCGCATAGAGTAGATACCTTCTCCCTGTTCAGGTACCTTCGTACACCGAGATGTAACGTCACAAAGTAATCCACCCACTGAAATATATATTGTGCATCTTTATTACGTTAAATTATACAATCTGAGTCGTTTAATTAATTATATTTTTTTATTTATTGATTGAGAATTTACTTTGTGAATCACAAATTGTATTAACATTGTAAAATATAGCTAATTGTATAAGTTAAGAGAAAAAAAGTAATTTGAGCAAAACCATAAACACATTACACATTAGCTTGTCTATGATGAAAATTGTTCGCGTTTGTATTGTAAGTGTTGCTATACTTACATCAATATCAGATATATCGATATAGAAGAGTTTGTCATCTGGTGCAGTAAGTGTGCGGCAGAGGTCGCGCGTGTTGGGATTGTGGTAGCGCCACTCGTTGAAGATGAATTTCTCAAGACGCCCCAACGACGACCACACGTTCTTGTGCAACCGGAACAAACTGGAATACATCCAATATAAACTATAGTATTACTTAAAAAAATATTACTCTTATTCTCTTTGGAAAGAGACAACAATATTTAACTTTCTAAAGACGACAGGGAATTATGACTAAAAAATAAACAGTTGAACCTGGATAAGAGGGGGGGTCCAAGTCAGTTTAAAAAATGCATAATGGATAACATTTTTTTTTAAATATTTGCAGTTTTTATTTTGTAAATTTACTAATATTTCTTTTACCATTCCAACAAAGCTCTAAGGCTTGTACTAGGATATGGTTTACGACAATAGTGGAATGGCGGGATTCGAACCCCCGACCTCGTGATCGGAAATCCGTACCCTTAACAATTAGGTTATTGACGCTTTTGACATTGCAATAAAACATTACTCACATAGGTCTTCCTCCAGTTAAGCGCAGCATCATATCGAGCAGCACCGCAGGGAAGAAGTGGACAAAGATGGCGGACACACGGAACAGCCATAAAGATGATACGAACTCCAAGCGCGGGTACCTGAGGAAAAATACAAAAATTACATCTACAAAGATTTCTTTTGCCAATTCTTATTTTTATTTTCAAAAGTGACATTTTAAAATACAAATAAAAAGAAGTATTCTCAAGATTTAACACTGTAACTTTGTAAATAAATTACCACACTGAGAGTAGTGTATATTTTTTTTATATCATAAGGTGGCAAACGAGCGAGCGGCCACCTGAAATCTCTATAATAGCGAAGTGACTGTTGCCCATAGACATACGCAATTGCATATGCGTAACCTACCTTTAATCAACGGAGGAAAGGATGCACAGAAAGAAAATATTTTCCCTTTCCATGCATCCTCTCATTCCACTTCCCATCCTTTCCTTATAAGAAAAATGGTGGGAAGGGAAAGAGGACTAAATTAGGCCTCCAGGACGCACACTCATCAGGCGAAACGCGGAATTGCTTCCACTTCACGCCTGTCTTCTGTGTGGTCGTGGTATTTCACCGGGCGAGCCGGGCCAATTCGTGCGAAGATGTTAAAGCGAGCTCTACCACTGTTAAAATTAAATTAATTTAGTCATAATAAACAATAGAAATCACTATATTTACCAGACAGCGCTCTTTAGTGGATACTTGTGCAGCATTTCATTGACTTTATATTCAAGCATTGTCCAGCGGAAAGGTTTCTGCGTCGAAGAAGAGCAGTGGTACACAGTCAGACCTGACCTGAAGATGATAAGCATATTTACTAATATTGCAAATGGACACCAGATGGAGTACGAGTTGCACTGAATTTGTATTGCATAAATCATATTATGTATATATTGAGAAAAATCAATATTTTATTAACTAGTTCTTCTATTAAGTTCTGAGTGAATTAAGCTAAGATGTATTGTCCTTACTTTTTCTTAGCAGCATGCCAGCCGGCCACTAGCAGTTGGTTGACAACGACATCAACTGGGATATAGTCAGCTATGTTATTCTTACACATAGGCAGACGACGGACTACGCCTGAAATTAAAATCTAATTTATACCTACGAATCTTATGCATAGACTTATCATATTTTCTTATAATTTTACCATAGGAAGTAAAAATAGTGGTAGCTTTGAAAATGTTAATTTTACTTGTTTTATCAAATCCTATTGTTTTATTCCAGCATTGAAGAATAAAGTAATCTTAATTAGAAAATATTAAAAATTTCATTAAGTTTACCTTTAGCCGCACCCATGAGGAATCCCTGCGGACCAACTTTAGAGCATGTCCATCCAGGAACTGGCTCCTTCCATGCAGCAACAACTATTCAAAAGCATAATTACATGTTACTAAATCTTTGGTTACAGTTCATAAGATCAAATCACAAATACTTGGACCGTTAAATTGCAGTTCTAGAACTAAATTGGCAGCTGAGCTTATCTCGATCTACTATAACTATGTGAGCCGTCAAGCCGCAAGCTGCTTGGTGAGTGGAAGTTCACAGTTCGAAACACAAATCATAAATCTATGCAGGTACAAATTAAGTTCTGCTTCACAAATGTAAATAATTATTTATACCTCTCCTATACAATAAAACAGAAGTACATTGACATAAATAATTGGTAACCATTGGTTTCTATTGCCGAAATGATCATACAAGAACATATTGTAATCTCAAATATAAATGTTACAAAACAAAATTAACAAAATACAGATGTAGCAATGGAAACCAACAGTTAAATTTATAGGAAAATGTATACATACTCATAGTTGGCCTGACAATAGTACAAGGGAACAAATGAGCACAATTCTTCACTTCATGCTCCGCCAAGTGTTTTGTAAAAGTGTATGTGTTTAGATGATTTTTAAGGATTCTGTAAAACAAAATTAATGATAAAATCTCTATCATTCAGAATGTTTTTAATCTTAAATTATTTTAATATTTTAATAAGTAAACCAGATTTAGATTGGCTTTAAGGTCTCTTTTGTACTCAGTATCCAAAAGTAAATCTACATAGATCTTTTTAGTGACCTTATGAACTTAAGAATTTATGGACTTGTGTACTTACTGAGGTTCAATTTCATTCAATGCATCATCATTCATAGTTTTAACCAATGATATGACTTTCTCTACATCCTCAGGAGCATCATATATTTTCTCATGAGCTTCAGTTAGATAAGAGTTAACATAGGCCGAAGATACATGGACCATCACCTTAAAAAGAATTGCTAGACTATACTCAAATACAGCTTGACCTGAATAAGCAATAATCCAAGGGACTGTAACATTTTTCTCTCTTATTGAGATTTCTCTTTAACCAGAGTTTCTCACTTTTAGAGGTTGTCCATCGGGACCAATGAGGGCCACTTATAGATGTTTCTTGCTTACACAGGTTCGACAATTTGGTAAAGATGTAACAGTTAAGCTTTTGTTTGCGATTATTTAATATTATTTTAACTTTGACATTGAAACATGTAGATGCAATTTATTTATTCATAAATATTTATAACATATACCTTTAAATCTTTAATTTCTTTGCACAGCTGCATTACTCTCCTTGTTCCCATAATATTAATCTTCACCGTGGGACTCAAGTTCTCCTGAAAGTCAAGTGTTGCAGCAGAATGTATGACCACATTGACATTCTTGACCAATATATCACGGTCCGTCTGGCTCAGGCCCAAGTCATCTTCACCCACATCGCCCGCAACTGGTATTAACTTGTTAAATATATCTTTTGATTCTGTTTCCAGTAGCTTTTCAAATACCTGAAAATGTGACATTTTAAATAAGTAAAAGTAACCAGTGTCTAATTTGGCATATTGTACAGAAGAAAAGGTTGTTTCCAACTTGGCAAATAAATTGCCAACTACTGTGTGTGTTACTGTAACCAAAAAAAATCTTGTCTTTATTGTTAAAAAGATTTTATGCAAGTTAATTATACTTTTATAAACAGATCTAACTATAAATTTTTTTCTTTGAATAGTTTATTGATGAAGTGCAAATAATACATTTGTAGAAGTAAATTCATTATTGAAGGCATGATTATTATTTACATCTTTATTAAGACATAGTAAAACATGGTATGCATAATTAAAATGGCTAGTTACAACAATTCTGTTCCATACAATGTGATTTTAATAAAAGATTTTCACTTGCTTTGAATTAAATTGAACAAAAAATGTAATGTGTTCTTGTAAAACAAAACACTATTGTCAAACAAAATTGTTAGATATACGTTTCTATTTTTGTAACTTTATATTTATTGCACCTATTAAAGACAAGCAAAACAACAGATTGGTACAACATTCACACATTTGTTATTTTCTAATCAGAAAATATTCTCAGAAAAGTCTTACCGGGTTTCCAGGAAATTCTTCTAACCTTTTCGATATTTCCTTTCCCTTCTTGGGTCGCATAAGTAAATACAATTTCCCAACATCTGGGATCGTTCTTAAAACCTTCTCGATCAGACATAAGCCTACAAATCCTGTGCCTCCAGTTATAAAGAAATTTTTACCGCTATAGAAAGCGCGCACTTCTGACTGTTCCGTCATTTTTAACTAACTTTTTCCGCTCTATAAGTTTTATGACTGTAACAAACAATTATAAATGATGTAGATAAATACTAAGCATAGAAAAATTAACTTAAAAGTACAGTACCAATTTCATTGATTTTTCAGTTCAGCGGAATTTGACATTTTCAGTTAAAGGCGAAATTGGCTACATGGCATTTTGCCAAAACGTCATTCTTCATTTTTACCGTTATTACAGCATTTTAGTTAAAATGATAAAGTTTTTCCCTCGTCTGTTTTACTTCTCTTTAATTACATACCTTGCAAATAATTATAAGATTTGATAATTTTTACAGAATTCATGTTATTAGAAGCAGATCGACAAAGGCAGTTGCTGCCCATGACGTTTATTAGAAAACTCTAACCTTAGATTGTAAACTTAAAACCAAGGATTTTGTTACAGATGTTTCACCTATTAAACTGTTATTAGCAAAATAAAATTTGATAAAAAGTATAAATTGATATCATATAATTTTTTATAACATGAAACAGGTAGGTATTTTAAGATTAGTATTTTTTTTAATTAGGACTGACCGCAAATTTTATAGAATCTTTTTAAGCTTTTTATCTCGCTTTTACGCTACGCCTTCTTATCAAATTACGGCAGTAATTCTAACCTCACGCCTAAAGTGAGAAACTCAAACAGCATATTGTATTTCTGAATCCAGTATAATACTGGACTTTTACTTTAAGGGTATCTGTTACAATGACTTGTATGCCATCTTGTTACTTACTTTTTCTCAAGTAAAGTACGGCCTAAACTATTTACTGCTGAATCACTTTTACTGAAACTTAATATCATCACTCTTAGTGTCTTTGCAGAAACTAAGATAATATTATAATAATTTTTGTACAGGTTTTTCGACTGTGGAAACTGACGATAACAGTGACTTGTCATAAAAAATGTAAATACGCTTAGACTAGTATACTGCCTAAAATGATTGGCAAACATTTTCTGCGTCGAAATAACGTCATTCGCATAAAAAACCCGTGATACCAGTTAGACGAGAAAACCATAGAAAAACCGCCGTGATCAAGAACAAAAAGATGCCGTTGAAATAATTACACGTGCAAACTATACGTGCAACATTGTGCATTGGAAGATAACTTTTGAACGAGATGCAAAGCAAATCCAACCTATTTAATATTCAAAAAAAAATCCAATGATAAAAAAATATTTATGTGTGAATACACGTATAAATTTTATAACTGGTTTTTATTTTACCACATGAAATATTTGTAAAAAAAAACACACTGTAAGTGAAGTGAATAAAAATAATTAATGAACATCTTTTATGTACATTTTGGTTGAAGCCTTCGCTCCCGAACTAGGTTACCTTATGTTTCAGGAGCCAATCGATTCCTCTTGCATTAGTATTATACATATTTCGTTCCTAAATAGAGAGAGAGAGAGAGAAATGTTTTTATAAACGATTGAATGTTGTTTTTTTGGGTTATAATGGTTATAAAAATTAACAGTTAGAAAAAAGAATATATCAAATAAGCAGACACACGCTATAGAGTATAAAAGTAATATTCGTAAATGTAATTATAATATATAGATGATAGAAAGATGTAAGAGTGGAAAGATATAGAAAGTAACCGCATCCAACGACCCAACGCGATATACTTACGGCTCAGACTCGGCTATTCTGATAGCCATTTAAGTAAAGTAAGAAATATCTGTTTTAGTAGTAAGCAGAAAACAGCTGACTTTTTTTTTAAATTCTAAAGTGACGAAGTCAACAGCCATCGATGATTCATTAAAAATTATAATTAAACGCAAACACGCTGTAAAATATTCCATAAAACGTAAACAAGTTTCTTATTCTGAGTTACATAAATAATTTATAACATTAAACAACAATTAGACTAATTCAGAAAGAAACATATTTCCTTGGTTTAAGAAAAGTATGGATCATTCTAGATTGATATCTAAAACATTTCTCAAATATATTGTTGAGTTTTAAACTAACAAATTGCTATCGAATAAAATTAACGATTGTTTTGCTTCCATAGTTGTTTTGTTATCGATTCAAATTAATCTTATACACGTCTTCTATCAAATCTATTATACTATCAATAAATACGACGTATACAGAAGTAGGTAGTAACTAATAATTAATAGGTTTGTTCTGTGTAAGGTCACAAGCAAATCAAACACGATATGTTAGTTTTCATAAGTACACAAATACGTATTGATGACTAGCTGTCACCCGCGACTCTATTCGCGCGGTATTAAAAACATAATTAGTAGCCTATGTGTTCTTCCAGACTATGTTCTACATCTATGCCAAATTTCAGCGAGATCCATTCGCGTTAAAATAATATTAGTTTGATGTAACCGAATGTTTATGAATTTTCGTAGTTTACAATCATTAGGCACATATTAAAATATCTAGAAGTAAACGAATTCCTAATCGAGATCAATAAATTAATATAAAGTAGAGACACTTTCAAATATGTTAAAATGTAGGCTGATTGAATATACATTTTATATTTTCACTTTATTTTATATTTTAACATATTAATGTAAGAAATAACTATTAAAACAGAATGCAATAATATTTATAAGCACATTTACGATATTCATTTTCAAGGCCAATGGAACAGACGAGACGCATTGTTGTTACCAATAAAAAATTACGATCGTGTTCAAATTAAATGTATCTTCCGTGTACATATAGAAAAATATGTATATTTATTAAACTAAAAATACATTGCAACGTTTCGTGTTTTTAATTACTTAAAAACCGAGATTTTTTTACGGATGTTTTGCTGTGAACACCACACGAACCCGTGAAAACCACAGGCTATCTTGTCAGCGTTGTTTTTGAACAGAAAACTTTGGCCTAATATACATAGTTTATCCAAATTGTAAGGTTATATGCCGCATCCACCATTGTTTTTTGTGGTCAAAATCTCTATATAAAACAACATCGTCATCCCTGTCATTATCTTTGACAAAACCGAGACAACAATTTGTTTCAAACGGAGATGTTGGTCTCAGAAAGCCACAGTCAGTCATTCATTAGTTACTTAAAGAGTAAATTTCTCATATTAAGCGTACACTAATTGTCTCCCTTAATGCACTTCAAATGCGGTAGAGCAATAAAACCAAAGTAATTGCTTTGTGTTCAGAGCGCATACTTAAGGGGCCCTTGCCCTCTGCGGTGGGCAACAAAATATGCGCTGGCTATGTAGACTAACACAACGGTAAACGCGTCTCGTTATAAGACCCAGAATAGCTGCGTATTATACTTTTATGATTGATTTTCCACATTATTTTTCCCTACGTCTTAGAATAAGCGCTTATTTCTTCTCCTATATTGAATTGATTTATAGCGGGTTCAATGAGTGAGTGAGTGACAAGTAAGTCGTTTCGACATTTGGACACTTTATAACATACTAACTGTTACCCGCGACACCGTCCGCGGGGATATAAAAAAAACTTTATAAGTGTGTAGAGCACACCATTCCATTGCATATTCTTTGTCTTTCTTAAATTTCGTGGAGATCCATTGAGCCGATCTGGAGATACCTTCAAACAAACATCCATCCATCCATCTAAAGGTTGCATAAGACAAATAGATTTAGTTGTTAAGGAAATTCAATTCCAGAATTAATTTCCTTCTTTAATTCTTGAACTCTATCTTCTTTATATCTAATCTATCTGTTTATTTGTATAAAATATGCGAATACAAAGAGAGGAAATGGAATGTATTCTGAATTCAAACATTCTATTAGTGTAAGAATGAGAATGTAATTATATTGATGTAATGATGACCGAGTGGTCAAAGGTGGCCGCAGAAAAAAACAGATTATCTTGCGAAAATTAAATCCAATCTCAAAGATTTTGGTAAATACTTAATTGGTTTACCAAAACCTGCTTTCCATATTAAAAGTGAGTTATATTTTTTCTCTCAAAATATTACATTTTAGAAATGTATAGGTAAACATTTTCCTTATATTTCCATAAACGTTAGCATTATAAGCTGTACTTAGTGTTGGTCGACCAATAATAACAAACTTAATATCGATGGAATATTTCATTATTGCAGAAATAGTAATTACACCTCGAGTATTAAGCCATAAAAATAAGTCTGAAGTACAATTACTTTGTACAAACAATCTGCACTCGCTTTGAAAAGATAGATAAATAAGAAAATAAAGTATATTGTTGGTTAGGTCCAATTCTCACTTAGCTGTTAACCACGAGCAATAGAGTTGCGAGTCGTAATTCCACTGGCGGAAGATCAAAATGCGTGGCTCCTCGCTAGTGAAAAGAGGGTTTTATTCGCTAATAGAATAATACTTTCTAATGTTAAAGGAATTTTAAAATTAATCGCAATTTAAAAGTCATATTTTTTATAGATGCTGCTGCTTATAGTAGAGTATGGTGGCGATAATTTTAGCAAGTCAGTGTGTACGGTACATCACTTGAGTCTTGAGCAAGGTCAATGTCCGGTCGAACGCTTTTGATTTTGTGCGAGCAACTTCGACGGAACGTGGAACGTGGGTGCAATACTAAATTTATTATAACTCAAATAAAAACCTAAAAAAATACTTTTTAAACTTCTATAATTACCTAAGTAATATAAGCTTTAAATTTTTGTTTATTTAACACGTGTAGTCGTGGAAGTTTCCTAATGAGCTTGCATAACATATGTTTTTTTTTTAGATGTTTACATATATATTTCATTCTATAACTTAGTAATTCAAATTAGATTTTAAATAGCGATAAATTCTTGCTGCAGAGTATTTATTTGTTTTGGATAACATCGTATGGAAAATTTAAATGGAAACATACTATGTGATTCAATCCAATCAAACAAAATACGTTTTTTGTTTGTTTCGTAAACAGATTTATGATAATAAATATTTACGTCTTAATAGTTTCCACCACCGTAAGAGCAGTACATTTATATTAATAACACACTCGAAAAATACGTATCGGTTCAATTCATTATATTGAAGGCATAGATATAGAACATAGTTGAGATACACAGGAGATATGTTTCTCGCCTTTTTTATGTATAAATGTAATTGCCGGCAAAAGCAATAAGTAATAAAAAATATCTATAATAGGTTTTACATTATTTTAATTATAAAACAGAAAGCCTGTTTTTGTCTATACAAACATAGGCGTTTAATTTTTTAGTAACAATATTATAAGGAGTACGCGCACAAACTCATCTTTCCTTAAAGTTGACGCTTGTCCTTTTCTGGTAATGGCTCTTTTAACACTGTTAATATACGTCGTTAAAAATTTATTTTTTAAACTTTTAGTTGACAGCCAGTAATTGTCAAACATTATTTTACTACGAATACCTACATATTTCTATTTACTCAATAATAAAATCAACACTGTAAACTTAATCAACAAAGTTGTTAGTAGGTAAACTAAAAAGAATCGAAGTATCGGAAGGGACCCCAAAAGTTAAGTGATTTAAGCAAGGTCAACTGATACGTTGGTATCACGAGATGTAATCTTTTCACTGTTTACACAATTTAACTTGTTACTCGCTTAATACGGTTTAATGTAACATAACAACACCATGTTAATGCGGTTTGTGGAAAATTACGTAGGGAAAGTTTTAAACATGAACTAAACATTTTTCACTTAAATAAGAATATACAATAAAAATATCACCGACATTGTATATAAAAATTATGTATAACATAATTTATACCATGAATAACTATAATATATTTAGGAAATAGTTTTCCTAAACTTTGAAGGCTTAAAAAATTGAATTAATACATACAATTAGATTTATATGACCATGTAATTTTAAAAATTAAAAATATGTTTAAAATATGGTTTAATGTGTACATACCTTTTTCAGTGTAAATGAAATCACAGTTTTACACAACAGACGCTGGCTTACACAGCAAGCGTCAGTAACGGCACAATAGTGACTGGCCGGACGCGCAAGCGCAGCAAAGTTTAAAACGCCGTGTCTACACTTCAATACAAATAAAATAGGCTCTATAACACAAAATACTAAAATTCACACCCACTAAGTCTTTTCATACCACTGGTTAGCTTTAAACTAAATTTATGTTAATGTAGGGTATTAGATTATGTTTTTAAATATTTGGTGACGTACGTGTAATATTTTTCGAAATGCATATCAGGTTTAGTTGTACACGATTTAAAGGAAAATAAAAGGTTTTTAACACGATAACAAGTTTTAAATAGAGATTTAATTTGTTTATCGTAAGCGATAAAGGGTAGGTAATGAATTCGTTTCGAATAAATTTTTCATAAACAAAACGGGCTGTATTCTTGGTAACTATTTGGAGGCCAGAAAATACTGTAAATCGAATAATACCTTTTTTAAAAGCAATCATACTCAGACTAGGGAATTCGGAAAAAAATTCGGGAAACGGCTACGACCTCTGTAAAAGAGTATTATTGTTATGGCAACTCAATCACCGCGTTTTAATTTATTTGTCCTTTTTAATTTACCTTTGCTATATTATTTTTTTTCTCTACTTAAAAGTATATTTTCTAAATTTTTAAGGACTTTTTATTTTATGAAGATATTGAGTCCTGCAATGATCCTTCGAGCCAGACATATAAATTATACATTAATAATATTAATTAGAATAATTTATTGTCTGTTTAATTTGTACGCGTCAATTATAATTTAAATAATAAGATTATCTAGAATAGAGGATAATAAAACCTTTGTGTTAAGTTAACCTTGATCTTTGTATGTCTTTGAAATGAATTAATTTTTTTGTGCATCAATCACGCTAAAATTACATAACACAAGACTATGAGCGTTTGACGCAAGATTGTCCGGTTGTCTGATTTAAGTCTGTGTTATGGACTATTAATTTTATGAATTTTGTTAATCCCCAGTATCCATTGTCAAAGTACTTTAATAATTAATTTATTATTTTGTAAAAATATCAAATATACTATATTAATATACGTATTATTTTTCAACGATCAGAAGTTACTTCAAACACTAAATACAGCGGTAATTTTGAATATTACAATTGATTCAAAATATAGTATTCCATGTAAAGTATACGTCTATTTAAGACGATGATTCAAAACAATCATTGTTGGACATTGCTCGCTCACTTTTTTGTGCAAATGTTAAACATGTCAATATTTTTTTTGTTTCGAAACAGACGTTTGTAAGGTGACAGCTTGACGTCACATTATTTGTAGACTTTCTATAGTATACTTACTATACTCTTTGGTAGACTGCAAACAAAAAATGCAAGATCTGCTAATATACGTTTCGTTAAACAGCAGAAATAGTGATTAAAGTAGTCATTTACTCGAATTAAAACATTTTTGAATTATTAAATGTTTTTATACGCATTTTTTTAACACTGATATGCTTTTTTATAGGGTACCAGTAAGAAAAATAAAACTAGGTAGTCTGATTTTATGTTTTTCTAGTATTTATGTAATTTATGGTGTTATGCAAATACGTCGCGAGATGCTGCAATGGTGGGTAATCGATGTGACCTCTTTATTTTTCCAGTGATAGATGAATGGTGAGAAGATAATTAACCTTTTAAACGGCAATTAAAACCGTTATACTATACCCGGCTACACTTTCAACACATTGTAGGTACCGTGGTATACTAAACTTTTCACGTAAAAGCAAATTCGCAGGCATATCCTCGTGTATGCGTTTTCTCAACTCGCATGGGGTCCATATGACACTGGTTTAGCCAATATTTGTTATAAATGTTACTATTCAAACTAAGATCAAGGCTTGGATAACTCTTATAAATCTAGGCGGCCCGAGGTCATCGGTGCGCTGCGCAGTGCCCTCCTCCCGCATTGCCCTATATCCCACTACACCTAAAATTGTGTTCTGCGCAGCGACTCGCACGAGGTTAAGAGCCTCCAAGATATCAGAAAACATTGATACTAGAGAGGATCGACGACAGTAGTTTAATGAGATTCGAATTCACGATCAAGTGATTCGATATTTGTAAACTTAACCATTAGGCTATTGGCGTTCGAATCATAAATGTATAAAGAAACAATTTGAATACACTTGACACAGTCATAGGTGAAGATCATAATAAATAAAAATCATATACGTAATGCAATTTGTTTGGAACATCGGTCGTACTTCTAGTCAGTGAAGGTTCATTATGTTTGTTCTCGACTTGGTACGGACAGGTCAGGGTTAAAATCATAGTATTTTTTATGAAACAACTACGTACATATTTGTTTGTAATCGCTGGAATTTGCTTTTTAAAAATTGATGAAACTACCTCATTGCTAGATCCCTAATGATTATGAACAGTTGGATTACGAAAGTCGACTTACCTTGATGTCTTCGTTTTTGTTGATTTCTCACATTACATGGAGCTCACGATGTTACTTTGTAAGATTCTAAGTTTTAGACAAATTTGACACTATATTTATGGTTCGGAAAACACTATATTTATGGTTTACAGATAACATAAAAATTGGTAAAGTATTTTCATAAATTTTATTAACTAGAGGTTGCTTTCGGACAAAAATTACTTTTCATCATAGGTAATTGAAGTGCATGACTTCATACAGTAATTTTTTTTAATATCGATATTACATACAGACACAAATGTTATAAATATTTATGTGTATGTAACGAGACAATAATAAACGAAAAAACATCGTAACGAGTTTAATTTAATTTGGAAAGTTAATTGTGAAAGTATTTAAATAAAACGGTACTAACAATACTTTTTAAAACCCGAACGTATAAAATGAGAAACATTTCTGATAAAGTTTCGCTTAATTGTTATTTTGTTTAAGCAATATATAAACTCATTTTTTGTTGGTTTCTAAAAACAAAGTTCACGTTTAAAACATATCGTCATCACTCTCATTATCTTTGACAAAAACACAGATAACAATATTTTATACAGAATGATGTTGGTCTCAGAAACCAATTGTAATGCTATTTAAAAATATAATTTACGTACCATGTAACCAAAGAGTATACATAGATGAATGAATGTAGAAAAGAGGGAGAGGTATGTATTGTCATCCCTTTCATTCTATTTAAAAAAAAATGTTGTTTTTCGGCTTCTGGGTTTCTCAAATGGCGACCTTGTCTATCAGAAATAAAACTTGAATCATTAATCTCTACAGTTTATTTTCGTAATTCTTAGAATAAAAATTTGTGGTTTGTAGACACCTTATTGAAATGAGAATACAGCTTATTTTTAACATAATATATAAACGTATTTCTATTTTTTTAAGTTCATAAATTATTCTATATATTAATATTTAATTTTACTACAAGGATACGAACAAAACATAGACATATTGTCTAAAAATAAACACGATCAGATAATGACAAATGACAAATTAAATCGTGTTTGAAAAAAATATAACATAATTTTTTTTGTTGTTTATAATCTTACCCCTTAACATTTCATTGAATCCATAAATATTCCCAAATAAGCGAAAAAAAAAACAAATTCTACTTATTATTTAATATAAACTTAAACAATAACCCATGGACTTATAAAGGAACCTTATAAATTTGAGATTAAGGTATAAAATCGTTTAGCTTTAAGGAATTAAAAATTAGGATTTTTTTATTCCAAAATATTTTTACAATCATGTCTTACTTGTGATAAAAGTGATGTTTCATTGAGATTACTAAATATGGCAAGACATTATTAACTAAGCTTACATCTAATTATAGTCGGGCCAGCGAGATTAAAAAAATAAACAAAAAATATTACCGTGTTACATTCCGATACCGAATAAAAAGTACCAATGTCTACCATACCACAAATAAAAATATCGCAAACAACTGTCAAAATTAGTTTTATAGTATAGACAAGTTAAAAAACCTTACTTGCGTTTTGTCCACTTTTGTACTTGATTCAACGTGAGTTTGTCTGATTAAAGCGCCAAAACTTTTTCCAAAGAATGTTTCTGTGCGTGTATTAATTCTTTGGAAGCTAACGAGTACACGTAATTTACAATATCTTGGTGGTTCAAGGTCATCTGCTCACTGCGTAGTTATGTTTTTCACAGACTTATACGACCAGCCAGCATTCCGAGCAGCCAAGATATGACAACCAAAATTTTGTTTAAAAATTGTTAGATTTCTCCAAATTGCTATTATGAAAAAAAAACATCGAATACTTTATTTTCTGAATGTAATGTAATTTGTTTAAAAACTTTTTTCTCGCTGGCAACACTATACATAAAACATTCTTAAATTAAATATAATAATATAATGTAAAATTATTGCTTAATAATATTGCTTTCATTTGAAAAATATATAAAAAAGCACTGATTTTAATACATTTCCATTTACGTCCTATGTATACTCAAAACTCTTGTAAAACATGCATTTTTTAATGGCAATTATAAATGTGATTCGAAAGTTAACCTAAAATAAAATCTAATTAAGTACTGGCTTGGAATGTTAAAAACACTTTTTGTTTTTTTTTGACAAATAAAACCATACACTGGATTCCGATTTAAAAATAATAAAATCCATTGTTATAAAATAATAAATTGAGTATTTAAAATTAATTTATAACCTATTAAATAAAATAACAAAAGATTAATTTAAAAAATAAAGCTGATAAATACGTTGATGTCAATAAATCTAAAATTGTTGAAATAATCTGTACATCCATTTATGTCATAAAATTAATTTAAAAAATTGTGTAAAACATTTTTAAATAACATACACCTATGTAGCTACCACCATCTAAAAAAACTAGAAAAAAAAAATAAACAACTTATTTAGCAATTCCTTCGAAATAATGTAACTTAATAGTTTAACATACCAACATTTGTATGAAGAATCATAAAAAAATATTAGTAATAAAAGCATAAAATACTGTAAAATAATTAATTGTAAATGAGTCTGGACTTTATAATATGAATTTCATGATAATTTTAGGGCTTTAATAACAAAAACTTCACTATTCCGAGTGTTGCCACTAAAAAAAAAATTAACTTGATGTTTTCATCGATTCATATTACAAGTAAATTAAACATAGAGCTTTGAAAATAATCAATA